TTAATGTGACATATATATATTTTACTTTTTCTTTCCTCAAGTTACCTTTGTCATTTTTTTTTTCTTTTCCTTTCCTTTCCTTTCCATTTCTTTTTCCTCTTTTCTTTTTCTTTCCCATTTCTTTTATAAATTAAAAAATTTCAGCTCGCCACAAGTCCTCTTCTATTCGTCCATGTAGGATTCAACTATCATGGCATCCACCTTGGGAATTTATCACTTTAACTTCATTCGACTATAACTTCTTTGTTTGAGCTCCGATATGGATGATCCAATAGTCGTTGAAATCGTTGTAACGAGCTCTACACTGTAGATACTTCAGAACACTAAAAATTTCAAATAACAAAATTAAGTTTGTTATCATCAAAACATTAATTAATTAAAATTAATTAATTTGAGATTAAGGGCCAAAAACCCAACAGATTGATACCTATTGACAATCACTACTGCATAGCAAATTTCAAGCCTAATACACAACATGGCATACATTAGGCTGCCCACTGCTGAAGCATAGGGAATGCGTCTCATATCCTCAACTTCTTGAGGTGTCTTAGGACATTGTTCCTTAGACAGAGAGATTCCATGTCTGAAAGGTAGTAAACCTTTCTTGGAATTCTGCATCGAATATCTGACAAGCATTTTGTCAATATAAGTTGCCTAAGACAGGGGTAGCGTTTTACTCTTTTGACTATTTATGATTTCAATCCCCAAAATGAACTGAGCATCTCCCAAATCTTTCATTTGGAATTCAGTTGCTAGCCACTTCTTAATGTCAATTAGGAAACTTACATCATTCCAAATGAGTTGGATATCATCCACATACAACATTAAGAAAGCTACAATGTTATTGATGATCTTCTTGTATACATAAGACTCATCAACATTATGGTAAAAACCATAAGACTTGATTGTAGTATCAAATCTTATATCCCAAGATCGAGATCTTTGTTTTAATCCATAAATAGATCGCTTAAGCTTGCAAAACTTTAGCTCTTGACCTTGCTTAATGAACCCTTCTGATTCAGACATATAAATACTCTCGATTGCCATTCAGAAAAGTAGTCTTGACATCAATTTGCCAAATTTCGTAGTCATAAAACTTGGCAATAGACAAGAGTATTCTTATAGACTTGAACATGACAACCGGGGAGAAGGTTTCCTCATATTTCACCCCTTCCTTTTAGGTGTAACCCTTTGCCACAAGTCTAGCCTTAAAGATCTGTACTTTTCCTTCGGTGTCTCGTTTTCTCTTACAGATCCATTTACAACCTATAGGTTTTATCCCATCAGGTTGACTTATAAGGTCCTATATGGAATTGAAGTACATAGACTCCATTTTCAGGTCTATAGCTTTGACCCATTTGTCCTAATCAACATATTCCATTGCCTTTTTGTAGGTTAATGGATCCTCAACGCCATCATCAGGTATGACGACCTGGGTTTCAGTTAAACTTACATAACGATCAAGTTGTGACACAATCCTCCCACTACGTCGAGGCACTATCAACTTTTGAGATGGATGTGACTGACGTGATGTACTAGCGCCATCAACAACTCTTGTTGAAGTGCTAGCTCTATCAGCAACTCTTGTAGATGTATTTGTAGCTTCATCAT